GGCAAGCTGATGTGAATTCACCTAGTGTCAGCTCTATCAGGACAGTGGGACGGGGTGGGGCTGGCCACAGGTGAGCTTGCGCTGTCACAAGACCCCACCCTCGGCTCTACCCATCCTCTCCTTGGCCCTGGGAGGGAAGAGAGCTGGAAGGGCCTGGACTCACAATGGGGTCGAGGTGGAAGGAGGACACTGATGTAACAAGAGGGCTCAGGCGGCTCTGCCCTTCTCCTCCTTAGTAGGCCTGCAGACTTAGTGCACTCCCCTCCCAGGAGCCCCTCAGACTATTGATGAACCAAGGGGACACGGCATGACAGTTTGAGAGGGACCTTGCCTGGTACTTTTAAGAAGGGGCAAGGCCTGACCTAGACACAAGACATCGGGTTCTTTTTCCACAACGAGATAGCAGGGTTTCCGCCCAAGAAGCAAAATCAGGTGGAAGAGTTTGGCTCTGGGACCCATATTCTGCTACTTAACTTACTGGGTACCTTGGATGGAGTCCTTATCATTCCTGAGCTGCCTGCTGTTTTCTCATCTTTAAAATGGTCATAATACCCATCTAGTAGCTAGTTTGCATTTCAGAGGTAATATAGCACCTTCCTCCCCCCAACCCCCCACAGCACCTGATCTTCCTAGGTGGTCTCCCATCCAAATACTAACCAGGCCTGACCCTGCTTAGCTTCCAAGATCTGGCACGTTCAGGGTAGCATGGCCATAGACGATATAGCACCTTTATTTTCCATACAGAGTAGGCACTCACTCACACATTGTTTTTTCCATTGTCCCCATTTTTCTGATCCCTGTTCTGCCGATTACAAAGGTAACCACCATAATTTTCAGACATCCTGAGGTACCATGGCCTTTCTGGACTTCCTGCAGTATTTTTGTCCAACCTGGATTCCCCAGCCCTGCCCTCTTCCTCCTACCCCCCACCCCATGCCCCACTTGCCTGCAGTGGGGCCCGTCTGGCAGATGCTGGCACTGGCCTCCATGCTCACAGTAGTCCTCACTGCATGGGGACATGCAAGTGAAGCCACTGTATGGGCTGTAGACCAGGCGATATTTCTTGTAGCCTTTGCATTTGAAGTAAGCCTCCAGTGTGCTCACGTTCACTGTCAAGTAGGGCACAGATAAACACGGAAAGCAAAATTAACACCAAACCTATACCTTTTTTAACCAAGAATTCCCTATCAGGCATTTATCCTTAGAAATAATTGGAAAAGTGCACAAATACACATGTTCACAGAAGTTCAGAGCAGTATGGTTTATAATAGCAACAATGTTTAACAGAAGTTTTATTAAACAAAAAATATCGTGCAACCAGTAAGCACCACGAAATGGTTAAAAGCATACGCTTTGAAGTCAGCTAGACCTTAATTGAAATTCAAACTCTGCTCCTGACTAGTTGTGTGATTTGGGGGAAATTTCATAATTCTTTCAGTTTCTGTTTCCTTATCTTTAAATGGAAATGATAATAATAGCACCTACCTTGCTTTGAAGTTTAAATAAAATAATATATGCAGGGTATTCAGTATGGTGCCTGACATAGTAAGCACTCAATAAATGGTCACTGCTAATATAACATTCTATTTAAAATATATTAAAACACTATATTAAATTATATTATAAAATAATTTATCAAATGGGAATAGGTACACAGTATGCAAGGTAATATGTTCACAATTGTTTAAGTAATGAGGTTATCTGATCTGATCTGATCTGATCCCTTTATTATAAAACAGTATTGATATGTGTGAAGGTGCCTATACATAAAAGAAAATTCAGAAGGATGTGTGCAAAATGGATTTGTCTCTGGGGATTGATTTTTTTCTTCATTTGGTTAACTTGTGTTTCCTAAATTTCCACAATAAACGATTGTACTTGTATAATAAAAATTGTAGGGTTTTGTTTATTTTCTTTAACAAAAGGTTTAGTCTGGTCTGAGGTAGTTGTTCCCTTATCCTCATCCCAAACCCCCAACCACACATGCACGTAGTAGTGGGAGGATTTTACATTATTGGCCCCAGGGAGGAAGCTTAGTCTGGATTCTAGAAGCTCTTGCTTGGTCCTGGACCCAAGTAACACAGCAGCTTCTGTTGGGTTTGGCATGGTCACTGCCCTGTTCTCTGCCTTGCTCCCAAAATAGGATGGGCTATTCCTTTCCCTTTCTAACAAGCTTGCCAACTTACCTCATTTCCATTCTGGGATAGTCGGGGACTGCCAAAGCTGAAAGGGACCTCAGAAATCTCATCTCATTTTCTAGATGGGGGCGTTAAACCTGGACTGGGGATGGCTTTTGCAGAGGGTTATACCCTTTTGGGGAGGGGATATCTCTGTCCCTGCGTGGGGTCTCCAGCCTTCAACTTAATAACTTCCAGCTGGAGGGCAAAGGCAAAAGGATGTCCTCGTTTATGTTTATGAAGTGCAATGGTATTTTAACAAAATCACTAACAATTTTATTAAAAGAAAGAAAGCCATTGGTAGCGGTTGCCAGGAAGGCAGCAGTTGGAGTAACTGCTCTGTGGAACTGCACATGGGGATTCGTTAAGCAGTATTTTGTGCTTCTGCTCTTGAAACCAGAAGGCTGGTGGCTAAAAGGTTTACAACTTCTCTCAACAATTATAAACCAAAAATTAAATTAACTGGCTTTTTGCGTGTCCGTGGAAAACTATAAAATATTTTTCTGCCATAAGTTTGTATGGACTGAAGATCCGTGCCAAGCTCCCACTGTTTACCCCCTCTGTCAGCTATCCCTGTGACTGTCCCCAAGATAATGACTCACGAGCATTCAGACTGCTTATATCTTTCCTGGAGATGGGGTGGAAGACCACGTCGTCATTACTGGGGCCCTCACTTCTCTTCCACCTCCTTCGTAGGGCTTGCAGTAGGAATGCCTCCACCACTGCGTCCAGCAGCTGGTTGTTCAGGAAATCGATGACAGGCCCCTGGGGGCGGTACTGGAATTCCGAGATGACCCTCCAGTATTGAAGGATGCTTCCTGAGGCCAGTGCAGCTGGGGGATCACTGTATGGGTGGGGCACAATGAAGGGCTAAGGGATGAGGGGTAAGAGGGAGGAGCCGGGACCGGGCAGGGACAGTCCCACTTACATTTTTTCCACTCTGCTGTTCCAGAGAAAGGCCCGCACGTCCAGGTTCCCCAGTATGTAAGCCACCTAGGGCAGAGGATGGGCATTGGGGGGTAGATGTGAGACCCAGTCCAGAGTGGAGACCCCACCAACTTTAATGCAATTTACTCATCCCCGTCTGTTTCCGTCTTTGAATGTGAGTCCCAGGACCCTCATGATTTCTCATCCATTTCTTCATCCCCACATCCCAGCCTAGCCTGGTGACCAGCATGGGTTGCTGCTTAGTAAAAGTTTGTCGATGAGTAAAGGACTTTACATATCTCCCTCCACCCCCAGCCTCCTATTATAAAGGGAGAATTTGAAAGGAATGGCTCCCACCTTGCCTCTGATTCCTGACTCACACATTCATTCTCTCCCACATGTATATTGACCATCACATATGTTTAGCCAGACCTAGGGTATAGTCAGGGGCTGGGGATGTCAATGTGACTTAGGAAAAGTCCATATTCAAAGGTCCATAGTCTGGTGCAGCAGAAAAATGTCAACAGATTTTATTGGAGTGTGGAATACCACAGTAACAGTAGTAATAATTATTATTCTAATCTTTTGACACTTATTGAGTTTTAGACAGCAGGCTCCGTACTTAACATACATTATAATTTAAACCTTGATACAACCCATTGACACAGGTACTATTATTATTTCCATTTTTATATATGAGGCAACAATTAATTTGTCTAATTATTACACCTGCTCTAGTGAGTGGTAGAGCCAGGATTTGAACCGGGGTATGTAGGATTCTGGAGCCTTAATAACTCAGCCACTGTGCTACTTTGCCTGTGATTGAGGAATGGAAAAGTGGAGGGAGCCCAAAAGAGGGAATCCCCAGTTCCCTCTGGGAAGTCAGAGAAAGCTTCCTGGAAGTGCAATGCCTTGTGTTGCACCCATATAACACCCAAGTGCAGGTCTCTAGGGACTCTCAGAAGGAGAGGCTGAGGTGATTTGGCTACCCTAGATCCCCTCGGAGCTCTCTGTCCTGGGGCTTCCTGTCTTCCTCACCCTAGGCCTTCCCTGAGGCAGGAAGCTCCCATCTTCTTGGGTAATTGAATCTAGATGGATGATGAGATGCAGAACGTACAAGTAATAGCTAAGATCCCACCCTGAACCTGCTTCCCCACCCAGAGCCACCTGCAGCACTGACCGAGGAGTTGACCTCTGATTTGGAGGCATTTTTTCCTTCACTGAGTGAGAGCTGGATGATTCTTAAGGGAAGACCTGGGGATGGGAGAAGCAGATTCATAATCACCACATGGGTTCACCCAGACTTACCCAAAAAGACTGCTGGGCCGGTCCAGAGAGACCCCCTATTCTGCAGTGATAGGTCACCAGAAGAATCAGGAGAGATGATTGAGTCCGCTGATCCCCATCTTAGTGCTTGTTTGACTATGGTTGGGGCTCCCCTGACTCTCTGCTCACTGAGCTATGAGGTCGCCTTCAGTCTTTCCTCATGAGACCACTCAGGTTCACGGTTTATGCTATGACAGCTGCCTCCACTGGATCCCATAGCCTGCAACTTACCACCACCCGAGGGAAATTTGGAGTTCTGTCCTGTGAGTTTGAGGAACTTAGCCCTGATCCCCACAGCCCCCCATTTTCTCCCAAGTGAGAGAAGTGTGGAGGTGGGGATAGTAGGGGCATCTGACGGTACCTGGTTCAATGGCTGGAGTAAAATTATTGCCAGCCAGGAAGCATTGGGTGTCTGTGAAGGCTTGGGGGCAGATGCAGGCAGGCTGGCAGTTTAGAGTCTGGGAGATGTAGCAATGGCCGTCATTGTAGCAGTAATTCACAGGGCAGGACGTGTTCTGACAGAGTTTAGAGTCTTCCAGAGCTGCAGAGAGGGCAGAGGTCAGGAACACCACACTGGGCAGTGCAGGGAAGCCCCCAGTCCATGGAAAGCTGCTCCCAGGACAGGCTTGGTTTCTTTCCTCCAAAGCCCCCTCAATTTGCATTCTGCTTGTGGGCCACCTTGAACCTCAAACTATCCTTCTCCCTTTGCCAGACATTTTCCTACCAGCAACCCTTGTTCCCCTGCCAGGTCTGTATTCTTTCACTTCTGAGAGAATGGAGTGTTTATCAGACATTTTGCATCAGGAAAGGACCCAGAAGACTTTCTCCACCTCCATGCCCTTTTCTGCCTTTATAAGACTGGTTCTACTGCTCTGGCCTTTGCTCAGATTTCATTTGGGTGCTGTAGGGGGCTTAGTGGAGGCCTCACTGTGATCTCCCTTGTCTGACTCCAGCGAATGTGGGGTCAAGGAACAGTTGGGAGGAAGACTCAAAGGGAAAATGAGGCACCCCTGCCACCAGATTCCCATGGCAGCCCCTCCAAATGTTCGGATTAGGGGGATAGGGAGACCCTGAGCCTTATATCTCAGAAGGCCCCAAGGAGCCTGAGGGCCCAGCTTACCTCTGGTTCCCTGGCTGTGCTGAAACTCTCCTCTCTTCTCCAAGCCACCTTCGGTCTTTCGCCCTCGGCTTTCCCCATTGGTGCCTCAGGGATACTCTGTTCTGGCCTTTCTCCAGTGCTTGTATAATCTCTTCTCCTTCAGCCTTGCATACTACCATGCCTATCCTACCTCCTTACCACACCCACATGTGTTGATCACTCCAAATACTTGCTAGCAAAGGGAGAGAAATGGTTCACTCATGGCTATCCTAGGCCTTCCAGATGTCACCTGTCCCCAGAACCTCCTCTGGCTAGGGCCCTGTTTTTAGCTTACGTGCACAGTGACGCCCATCTCCAGTCAGGTGCAGGGGGCATGCCTCGCAGCCCTTCCCAGGAATGCACTTCACATTCGGGAAGCACTGCTCTGCACAGGGGTCCTTGGTGTGTTCACAGTATTGGCCAAAGGTGTTCCCATCACACGCACAGCCAGCCACCTGAAATGGGTTGCTGATCACTGAGCAGCCAGGAGGAGGCTGAACCACTATAGGTATCTGGGTGTTTCAGTACTGACTCCTCGGGTCTGAGAACCCATGGACTCTGAGTCCTTGTTTTAGTTCTGTCGGCATCTACTGAGCACCTTCGTGACCAGGCCCTGGGCCTGTATGTCCCTGCCCAAAGGCACACTATTCTCCAACCCATTTGGCACCCTGGGCCATTCTTTCTCCTGACCTCTCTGCCTGGCCCCTGCCCCAGGTTCTCAGCCTCTTCCCTCTCACACCATATCTCTTTGCCCGAAATCCTTTTCAGAGTAAGATGGTGGGGAGTTGGGAGAGGCAATAAATAAATACATACATACATACATACATACATACATACATACATACATATTCTACTATCCCTTGAAAACTGTCTCCTGCTCATTCTTCCCTTGCTGACTCCCAAACCAAGAATTTAGAGCCCCATTGCTCACCACAGGGAGAGTACACGTAACCAGAACAATAGCACAGGGAAAGTTATGGTTCTAGAAACTTCAGCAAGCTCACTAGTCTCTCTTTTCTGACCTCCCTACTGAGATGACTCTGGAAATCTCCCAGAAATGGAACCCTCCAACATTTCTGCCCCAAGACTGGACATTTTGGAATATCTAGAATAATATACTGATTTTAATCTCTGTTTTTACCCCCTCCATATTTTTTCCTTTTCCAGCCGCTGAGTTCCCCCACCCCCACCCCTTTCAAGTAGGAATTCTCTGCTTGTGCTTCAGGAGAAGGGTGTGTGTGTGTGTGTGTGTGTGTGTGTGTATAGGGGGTAAAGGAGGTCATAGGATATTGCCAGCCAAACACTTTCCTTTTCTGGGTCCACTTTTAAAACCAAAATAAATAAATAAATAAAAACAAAAATAAAGCAGATAGGGTAAGATGCATGGACTTAGACCAAGTATCTTGGCTAGAGCAAAAGAGTAAAACAGAAGACAAAGGGGATTGAGGTGTGCCAAGATCAGAGGGGACCTGTACCTCTCTGCTCAACAACATGATAATAAGATCCCAGAGAGAAATGGCTGTGTGGTGCTTCTAGGCAGACTGGATCTTAAGCCACCTCATAAAAAGCTCCCTGAGCAAGGCACCCAACTGCACAGCACCTCCCTAGGTCTGAAGAAGAGGGAGCATGGAGCTTGTGATCCATGTAGACGTGTGCCCAGGGACCACACAGGCACTTTCCTAACCCACATCTTTTTCCAGAACCACGGAGCTGGGAACCACTGTGGAAACTCTAAAAGGCTGAAATGGAAGTTTCTCACCAGCCTGGCAGAATGGGAGCTTGGAGATAAAAATTCAATTGAGCTATAAGCAGTAAAGAAGGTTCTATTTCTTATATGTGTAAGTTTGCAGCCTGAGACTAGTATCTGCTCTACTTGTCCACCATAGTTCTACCCACCTCCCAACACATACAATACTACAGAGGGGCTGAATTATGACATCCCTTCAATTCTCACTTTCTTTCCCCTCAACACAGAAACCTCCTTCCCATCCTCCTTCCAGCACTCACCTCCATGGAGGAATTGCTCATCCCGCTGGTCTGGTTGTATAAACACTGTTTCTCTCTCTTGCAAGCACAGACCACGGTCTTTGGCTGGAGTACAGAAGATAAGTTGTCCTTGATATTTCTTGCTAAGATCTCCAGAGTGAATGGTTCCAGAGACTTTGGTGTCCATAGCAATGTCCCATTCTCTGTCCCAGGGAAGACAAGATCAATGAGAGCTGGGAGCCTTGTCTGCTCTACTGTCCAACATATCTTGGCATCTAACACCCTGAGAGTCAATGCTGGACTCCCCTCAGACCGCCCCTCAAATCTCATCGGGCATTTCCTTGAGCAAGGCTGGTTTCCTGGGCTGATTCTGGTCACACTCCAAGCTGGAGGCCACACCAGCCCAACTAACTGATTGTAGGGTGGAGTTTCACAGAGGGAAGGCAGTTGTCTCCTGAAGAGACCCCAAATGGCAATCTGCTTGGGTCTGCACCAGGATGGAACATCCAGCGGAGATGAACGATAAAGGCCAGGATCCTTCTGCTACTTCCCCAGGCTACACTGCAGGCCAAACTGGCTTCACCTTCACAGCAGCCCCATCCCTTGCTTCGAGTTCTCGCCCACCCCTTTTGCTTCCTGAACCTTTGACCAGCCACCCCTTTAGACACCAAACTACAGTGAAACACTGCTACATTTTAGTAAGGACTCTTCTGATCAAATCCGTCTTTTGGTTTTCAAGAAAATAGAAAAGTCTCCTTGAAATAGCAGGTTAAGGGGAGCTGACTCTAGGGAACAGATGAGAGTAACTTCCAGGCTGTCACTCTTCAGGAGAGAAGCCCAGTGGAGGACAAAATCTCCTGATGCCATTGCCTAGCCCCTGGGAGGTCACCACATGGAGCAAAATGGAGCAGACAGAGCACTTGCTTCTTATGCACAAAGAAAGAAAATGAGGCAAAGAGGTGTTCAGAGCTCAGAATAAGGTCGCTAAGGGCTTTGGTTTAGCAAAGAATAGTCACGAGCACAGTTAGTGCTGGCCACAGAAGGCAAGCTACATTCCATGGGCTTTGGCTCTTTGACCTGATCATGGTTACAGGCCTGGGAGGTCTGCACACCATTACTGAGAGGGGAAAATAAAGCTTTGTTTGGTCCCAGCACAGAAAAGCAGACAAGGAGTGCTAAAGGTAGGTAAATATGGTTGACACACATAAAAATAGTAATAAACATTCCAAACAATGGTATTTGTATTTCTTTATATCTTGTTTTACATTATATCTTTTTAAAAAATAGATATGAAAATGTCTTAGGTTAGTATTTTTTAGTTGTTATACTTTATTCTAATAACTCGGTGATTGTCCAGAGTCAGTCTAGCCAGCTGGCCGAATCTCCATAAGCCCATCAGTACTATTCCTGGGGAAGTGAGGACACCTATTTGAATTGTAGAAATCATTCCTAGGAAATGCAGGTCCCAGATTTTCCAATGAAATAGTGACAAGAAGTTGCACAGGGTATAATAATGCAAGATTATCCATGGCTTGACTCTGATCTCATGCCCTCAGCCCCCAAGCGCCCTTACCAAAAAGCTTGAAGTCAGCGTAGTTGTTTCTGAGCGTGAATGTGACATTCGTAGAGCTGCTGTTGTACTGAATCAGTGTGGTCTGCCCCATGTAGGCTTCCACCAAACGACGGCCATTGATAGAGGGCGGGTACTGGTCTGCAACACAGAGAGGGGATTCAGGGCCTGAGGTAGGGCACCCTCTCGCCTTATGGCCACCTCTCTCTTTCTCTGGTCCTGTTGCTCGTGGGAAACATGCCCAGGGCTGTGACCCGCCTTTGGAAGCAGGAATTATTCTGCGTACCTGCTATCAGACCCAGGCATAGCAGATTGGGGCCGTATGGCCCGCCTGGCCAAACCTTTATTCTCTCTCTATCTTCTCCCCGAGCAGGATTCATTTTAAGTTTTTTTCCTGTTCAGAGTGCTGTGCTGGGCATGGTATGAAATGAATCAGAGAACAGGGTTGTTCAGAGCAGCACCGTTTTACCTTTGGAAGAGGGCCAAAAACCATGAGGGTAATATCTAGATGGGCATTGCATTCGTTAGGAAATAGAGAGGAAGCAAACCTTTTTCACTGGTCTCTGTTTTTTGGAGCCCTGCTATCTCCATTTCATTTTTGTTCATTCATTTGTTCATTCATTCATTTATTCATTCAATCAGTCAGTCACTTAACAAGTATTTACTGAGCACCTACCATATGTCTGGCATATTTTAGATAACGAGGACACAGCAATAAACAAATAATAAAAGAGATACCTACGAAAATTAGAAAATATGTTCCAGAGTTATAAATGCTAAGAGAAAAAATAAAGCAGGGAAGATGAATAGGGAGTGTAGGTGAATGTAAAATTTTAGACAGGCTAGCCAAGAAAGGGGACATTTAAATAGAGACTTGAAGGAGGTGAGGGGTAAGTCTGTGGTTGTCTGGGAGAAGGGTGTTCCAGGCAAAGACGGCAGCATGTGTGGCATCTCAGAGTTTAGAGTGAGCCTGGTGTGTTTGAAGGACATAAAGAAGCCAATGGGACTAGAGTAGAGGAAGCAAGGTGGGAGCACCAGAAGAAGAGTTTGGAGAGGTAAACTGGATAGGACTCTGAAGGTCGTCACAAGGACAGAGAGAACTGGGGAGTTATGGAAGGGTTTCATCAGAGGAATAATGAGTCAAAGAATCTGATAAATTTAAAAAACTGTGTCTCTTACAGGAGTGTCATAGAAGGGAGCTCCTCATCTTCTCCCTATCTTTGCAAACGCCCCCCTGGGCCTCACGCCACTTACTGAGGGTAGCGTTCATCTGTTGGTAGCTTGAAAAGAGCATTTTAGTGTGCAGTCCAGTGCTTGTGTTTCCCGTGACCAGGATGTCATAAATGCATTGTTTATTTCCATGACACTCAGAGGTCAAATTCTCACTCGAAGAGTTGTTTTTCAAAAGTTGGGAAATGAAGACAGGAGTGAAGTTGGAAGGCAGATTGTTGTCCCTCTTGCCAAGGAGGCTTGTTCCGTCGATTTTCCCTATAACACATGAAGTACAATGGCAGCAATACCAGAGATGGGACTTCAGCTATATTTCTGCAGTGCCTGCCCCTTACTCTCACTTTATATAGTTTAGGATGGGGAGGAAGACATGGAAGGACAGGCTGACATTCGGCGTCTGAGTCTGGAAATACCTGCTCTAGTGAGTGAGGGCCACCCACCTCCTTCGTTCTCTCTTCCAGGAAGAGAGATGCAGGTATGGTGGGAGTGGAGGGGACAGATCTGGGGTGACACCAGAACCCTCAGTGTCGCCTTCTGGCTTTCCACCCCTCCTTCATAAAGGACAGAGATCTGGTTTCCACAGACCTGAGGGAGAACACGTGAGCAGCTTCCTTCACCCCGGCCCTGCCCCACTGACCCAGAGCACACGAGGCTCAGACTTACAGGTCATTCCGTAGTGGAAAAGTGTCTCTTCGTTGCTCTCTTTGGGAATGATGGTGTCATTGGGCATCTTGAAGTCATCATCTGGATTGTCATTCCACACCCCTGAGGGACAGAGTAGGATGTCGGCCACCCTGGGTTACAGTTCTCCCCTTCCCTGGGGAGCATCCAGCAGTTCATGCTCAAAATGTGAGGAGGAGCAGGGAGCCCAGGAAGCCTCTTTATGTTGTATCTGTTCTTGATTCAGTCCTCCAAGAGGAGGGGAGAAGACGGACCATAACCTCAGAGCCCCACCCCTCTGCTTTAAGGTGGGAAGAAGAGAGAGGGAAGGAGGGGATGAAGGAAGAGGAAGGGGATGGAAAAAGAGGGAGGGGATGGAGGCAATGTGGGGAGGAGTGGGAAGGTGTGAGAGGTGTGAGGCACAGGCCGTTGCTGGCTGCCCCCTTTTCAGTGCCCTTTGATGCTCCCTTTGCTGTCCAAAAGTAGAAATTTAGGAGGACAGGAAGCGAGCCTCAAAGGTAGCTGAAGAGGTCCCTGTCCCTCCCTGCTGCTCTGCGTCTGCAGGGTTCTGCTCCGAGGAGTCTGAGAAAGAGAAACTCAGCCTGGGATGTCCACAGGCCAATGGGAGGGGGACCACCTGGGGTCTGGGAGTCCAGGCTCCTGTGGTGGCTGCTGACTCAGAGGCAGGGTCCTGTCAGCTTCTTACCCAGGAGGCCCTCGGTGCGGTTTCGGTACTCCTCAGGGAGGCTGCAGGAGGCATGGAGGATGTTGGAGAGAGCAATCACTGAGATGGTCACTGTCCCATCTAAGCTGGCTGATACCATCGAGCCATTGCGGCTCAATACGACTCCAGTGGTGTTGAATATCTCCTGGCCTAGAATGTTGGGAGACAGATGAGGAAGAAACCAGCATTGGGATCCTGCAGGCCCAAGACTTGGCAGGACCGAAGGTTCAAAATGCAGAGAGGAGACTGAGAGCAGCTCTGGGGTATCCTGAGGCACCTTCTCTAGTGGCCCAAAACCAAACACACAGAATACCCTCAAGTCCTGCGCCACCTGCTTCTAGCTTGGGACTGAAGAAGGGGGCTACCACAGAGAGGTTGTCACAGCACTGGAGGAAGGAGAGAACTGAGGAAGGAAAGTTTAAGTCTTGCTCCTGAGTGAAGAAGCTGCTCAGGCACAGCTGCTCAAGAAACAGCAGGGGTGGTGACCAGTCTCTCCTACCCTAGTGCTGCTGTCTCTGCGCCCCAGCACGCTGCTCCCAGGTGTGGGGCACCCACTGAACCCTCGCGGCTGTCCCCAGCCTACCTTCTGCATCTTCACGGTTAGAATCAAATGTCACAGTCTGGTTATTGAGCCGCACTTGAATTGTGTCATCGGGCTCAAGAAACCATTGAACCTGGAAGGGAATTGGAGGAGGCCTAAGCCTGACCTGTAGGTGGGCCCAGAGCTGAGAAAGGAGGCTGCAAAGAGCTTAGAACCTGAGCTCTGGACAAAGATGAAGGTGATGGTGGATGTGACAATGAGGTTTTGCAAGCTAACATCTTGGAGTGCTTAGCATAGACCAGCCTCTGAGTGGGACCCATTTCTTAGATTACCTCATTAAAATCTCACAACGGCCCTGTGAGGTAGGTAATGTTATTATCCCCATTTTACTATAAGAAAACTGAGGCACTAGAAGTTAAGTCATTTCTTTAGTCATGTAGCTGGTGGAACCAGGACCCTCCCTGTGTCTCTCGGGTGACTCTCAAACCACTACACTGGCGAGATGCATCCTCCCTCCCTTCTGTCCCTTTCTCTTCCTCTTTCTTCCTCCTCCTGGGTCTTGATTTCCAGCTGAGGCCCACCTGAACACTCTCTGGGAGGGGAGCAGGGATGTCTAGTGTTCCCTGTCTCACTTACTGTGATGGAGTCCAGGCTGCTGGAGTTGTACTGAGCGGCAAAGGCAATGAAGTTGGAGGCCTGGGCCGAGCCAGTCTGGGCAGTGCGGCCCTGAAGCAGGAAGGAGGAGTTTCCATCCTGGGCCTGGACCAGCAGGAAGTCCCCCAGCCCATTGAAGGTGTAATTGGCATGATCCAAGGTGGTGATGTGTGGGTCCCCAAACATCCAGGCTGGAAAAAGGAGATACCGCATTGGCATGGTAGACGAGGGAAGGGTCTAAGATACGATGATACCCCTAGGCAGGGCATTTGCCCAGATAGACTCAAGCCGGGGAGGTGTTCATGGCTTATAGAATCTACCCTGGAAGCCCTCTTGCACTTTTGTGCCCCCACCGCATCCATGTCTGCTCATTATCTTTTACTCTCCCATTCCCGCCCCCTCCCTAATGCCAGGTCCAAAGCCCCTTCTTTTGCCGTTGGACGCAGAGCAGAACCATCTCCATCTTCTCTTGTGGCCACAACCCTGCCCCTGGTCCAGAAGCTAGTGTTGCCCTGGTCCAGGCCCCGAGAGGCTATCCCTCCCCAGATCCTCTGTCTTGACCCTACTCCAGAGTGGGCCTCAGCAGCCTCACCAGGCCTGGGGGGCTGGTACCCAGCACAGCTGATGCGGGGCCACCTTTGCTGGTACATGGCACATAAGGAGGGCTGGTCATTCCAGTGACAGCACCACTGTTGAGGCTCTAGTTCTTGGTCTGTGGAGAATAGCAGCATGTTGCGGGGTGGGACATGGAGGACCTGCAGAACTCAGCGAGAAGGTTCGGTGGGGCAGTATAAGATGAGTGGCAAGAGCATGGTTTGAGAAATTGGCACACTTCAGTTCAGATCCTGCCCTACTCAGTGGCCTTAGGCTATTGACCAATTACTATCTCCCTTGAAGGTTTGTTGGAGCCACATATAGCCAAGCCCTCAGGTGGGCCAGAACATGGTTGGAGCTAAAAATCTCCCTTTCTTGAAGAGTGGGGTGCTGAGTCCCACTGCTCTGAAAGTACTGGGAGTGGAAGGGCATGGCTGATGATCTGGGGACTATGGATGCTGCTTGGATTACAGGGAGGAGGGTAGAGGACATACATTACTTGCTCCCCTACCCCTGTGCCCTCTAGCTCCTTTGGAGGGTCTCTGTCGGAGATGACTCCATATTTTCCCCAAGATAGCCTGCTAATCTGGGTCCAGAGGCTAGGGTCAGACTCCCCTTCCCTAGGAAGATGCCCTTGTTCTGGGCCAGGGCTATGGGGGCAAGTGGAGATGGGGCAAGAGGCACTCAATCATAAACCCCTAGGATATCAGCTGGAAGGAATGTTGAGCGTGTCCTAACATCACAAGATCAGGAAATTGAGCACCAGGGAAGGGAAGGAACTGGGAGGGAATGGGGACAAAAGGCTTCATTCTGTGGGTCCCACTGCTTGGCATTCAGCCCAGAGCTGGTGCTTGATGAGGAAGAGCACAGAGCTCCAGAGAAGGTAGGATTGAGATCTCTGTGGACGCACATACCAAACTGCCAAGGACTCTGCACTCTCCAGCCTTCGAGAAACTCTCCCCATGGCCCATAGCTGCAGCACGCTCCTCCACGCCAGGAGGAGAAGCTGCACAGCTGCCTGCTTCTGAGGCCCCACCAGCCTGCAACAAGTCCAGACATACTCAGGCCCAGGACGCCTGTGGTGGGGGCAGGATCAGGGTGAGGTGTTCCTGGGGAGAGGTTGAGGGTGCCTCAAAAGGGACAGGTTAGATGTGACCAGAGGGATGGTGGGTGGGCTTATGGGGGACAATGGATATACCCCAAGAGACAGGAAGGAGATGTCACCTGTGTGGACGGGCAAGAATCGTAAGTCCCATAGTCCCTGCTGCCAGGAGCAAGGGCAGGAGATCTGGTTCCAGTCCCAGCCAGGCCACTGAGGCTGTCTCTTCAACCACTGCAGGCACCTGAGACGGTAGTTGGGTCTTTCTTCCCTGTGCAGCCTATAGACCTGCAGGCCCCTGAGGCCTTAGAGAGCAAAGGAAGAAGGGTTATATCAGGGCCTAGGGACACAGGCTCTGCTCTAGCTTTAGGTACAATCAAAACTCAGAAATGCACCTTCTGTATGTCACTTTCCCTCTCTGGACAGCTCTTCCAGGGATGGGACCCCATTCAGATTGGCAGCAATTCCTCCTCAAAGATCCCTTTGATGTGAACCCCCAAAAGCCCTCAAAACTTAGCTCTTAGGGTGAAACCTTAGGGACAAGTGCTGGGTGGGGAGGCCTCACCTGCACCAAACTGAGAGTCAAGCCCTGGCCCTGATCTTCAGTTCACCCCATCCTCTACCCTCTTGTCTGTCACTCTAAGCTCCAGCACCTTCCATCCTTCAAACCAATTCCTCCTCATGCACCTTATATCTCAATGAATGATGCTGCCAGCCACTAGCCATCCATTTAGACACTTGGCTTTCATTTTTGACCACCCTACCCAGCACAGACATGTCAGTGGTCAAAGCAGCAAGACAAGAGGCCAGTGTTCAGAGGCCATCTGGGGAGCCAGCCACAGAGGAGTTGGCATGTGAAGCAGGGGTTTGCTCTAACACCACAGGACTGAGGAAGCATCCTCTGTGCCCAGACACCATTCTTGTAAGGGAGAAGTAAGCAGGAGAATGAACCCTGATGGGGGTTTGAACTTTAAATAGACCTTAAATTAATTGTACGTTACACTCTGCCCACCCCAGCTGCCATGAGTGAGAAAAGGCTCCAGAGTTCCATAAGATACAGTAGGACATAGGTATTAGATTTTGACTCGGTTCCTACACAAAAGAAGAAATTGTCAAGATAGCTACAATTCGTTAAGGGTTTGAAAACAATAATCATTTTTTTATGACTATCTGTTTATGTGTCTTCTCTACAATAGCCTGGTGTCAGGGAAAACACATCAGATACACTCCCCCAACACATATACACACAATCGTATTGCACCTCCTGGGTCACAAACAGATGTATCTTGGTAGAAGGGCCTTAATTTCACTGGGCAGCTCTCTCCACAAAATGGCACCCATGATTTGACCTAGCTTCTGTTTATTAAAAGTTCTCGCCACGGAACGAATAGAACTGGATTTATGATTCACAATTTACTTGGCTGGTTTCTAACGTTAAAATATCCTTTGTTCTACCACATTTGGAAACCATAATTTCTTTCTCTTTGGGACTTCTGGACAGGACACTGAGTCATGGTGGAGGCCTCACGGGCTTCCTCCTGATACTAAAGTACTGGCCTTCTTACTAGAGTGAGAGCTCTTTGAGAGCAAATGTAGTTGGTCTTTTTTTTTTTCTTAGTACAGTGTCCAGCGCGTGCGCGCGCGCGCACGCACGCGCCCACACACACACACACACACACACACACACGAGATGGCTGAATGAATGCCAGACCTCTGGAACTCCTCTTGGTAGATTCTCTTAAGGGATCTCATCTGGGCTTTCATTCCAGCTTAGATAGGACATTAACTGCCCATTCATACCCTCGTCTCCTGCCACACCCCTCTCTTCCAGGATCCAGGCCCCACTGAGAGACCTCCTGGGTTTGGCTCATTCTAGAGAGGAGACAGCCCCAACTGAGGCTGTATTGCATGAAGGTAGAGAAGATACCAGCAGCTCCCTGGGAAGTGCCAATTCCCGATTACACCTGTGGGAGGTCAGTGCTGCGGACGCCCTTTGGGATGGTGGAGATGCTAGGGAACTGCCCCTCTAGGACTGTCGTGGCCCACCAAGTGAAGGAAAGAAGAGGAGTTCAATCCAGCTTAAGTGTGATGAGGGGGTACTTTTACCTGAGTTGGAATCCAGGAATTGATCTGGACGATACCTCTCCCACACTGGCTGGAATGTCAGTGGGCTGTTTTCATAATACCCATCTCCACTGCAGGCAAAGGAAAGAATCATAGACTTCTGTCACATGCAGGATCTTCTTGCTCAGTTGGCAAGTTTCTCATTCAGCCAATCAGTCAGCCAGTCCCTCACTCAGTCCCTCACTCAGTCCAGCTAGTCATTCGTTATCAGCTGGTCAGTCAATTGAATTACTCAGTCAGTCGGTCAGTCAGCCAGCCAGAATCACTGACTTTTACCACTAATCAGGAGAGATGGATTGGGTAGGGGTGGGGAGGCTCTAATTTATTCCACATGATTGCTAATGGCCAGAAACTGATCATGAGACAGGGGTGTGAAAACAACAGAATCCAGGCCTCTTTCCAGTTAGTTTTTCTTCCAGTAGGGATTGGTGAGGACAGTATATTGGGGTTATTAAGAGCTAATCTCTGGAGTTAGGCAGTTGTAGATTCAACTTTTGATTCTCACACTTAGTAGCTTGGTAACCACAGGCAAGTTACTTAACCTCTTTGATTCTTAGTTGTCACATGTGTGTAAAAGAGATTATGGTAGTGCCTACCTCACACTATTGTGAGGATGAAATGCAGTAACATTTTTAAATGCCTCAGAACTGAGTGAGGATTTGATGCAATGAGTGCATCCCCTCCCCCTCAGTGGTGGCATTCAAAGGCTGCTCCCTGAAGGAAGGAATCCTAGGCAGAAGCCTACAGCTTCACTCTGAGTGCATGCCCCAGAGCGGTGACTCCTGATCTTTTCTCCCCTCTGACACAGGATAGATGACACACACAGGTGTGGCACTTTCTGTGGGCAGGTGCACTCAGAATGGTGTGAAATTCCTAACTAGTTGGGTAATTCCACTCCTTTCTTCTTCACAGCACATCAAAAAGCAAATGAAAGCAATGTAATTATAGGGCAATCCTGAACACTCTCTAAGAGAAAACCATTTGCAGCAATTACCAGTAACAAATTACATGTGACCTTCACAACCGATTACACACACCAGTACCTGGAAATACTGTGGCTGAGAACTGTTGTGTCAGAGACTGAGCCACTTCCACACACAGGAACCCACATCCCATCCACTGCCCCATCTCTCCGCCCTCCGTCTTTCCCACTGACACCACACAAGATACCCCTGAGTAAAGGATTAATTGTCAGAGGCCAGGGGCACCAGAAGCCAGGAAGGCAGATTTCAGACTCAGATGTCTGGGTTCAAATTTCTGCTTTGCCACTTCCCAGCTCTGTGACTTTGGGCAATTACTTATCGATTCGTACCTCAGTTTCCTTATATGTAGAATGAGTAATAAATAGTATCTCCTTTATGAGGTTGTGATAATAATATGAAATAATGCATATTAAGTACTTTGTTTAATAAATGTCAGCTGTTATTATTATGATATTTGAGAAGTCAAGAGAGGTCAACTAATGTCAGTGGAAATTAGAGAAATCAAAGCTCGAGGGATTATTACACTGCATGGGTTCTGGGAGAGAAAAGAGAATGGCAGGGTAAATAGGGATCTTTTAATGTGAAACAGCAAGAAGTGAGACCTGGAGCCAGTGTGAGTCGGAAGCATCGGCAAGGAGGATTCATGCCTGGTCCTGGGGGATGGGAATATGTATGTGCAGTGAAAACACTTCTCTGCACCACTTCCTATTGTCTGCCCCGTGCTGATAGCCCCTCCTCGTCCTACCTGGAGAAGCCCATGAGGACCCTGCTGCCTGGGAGCTGGGTCATGTCCCACTGCATTCCACCGCTTTGGTAGAGAAACAAGGTGAAGGATCTGCTCCCATCGGTGGTGAGGATGGCCTGGTAGGTGTTAGTCTGGGAGTTGGTTGGAGACAGAGATGCTTGTGAAAAATCTAGAGTCTCTTCCCTGATGTCCCATCACCCATCCCACACCCCTGCCCTGACACACACATCTTTTCCTGGCCTATCCAGAGCAAAGGCATGGGCTTAAGATGCTGATAAGCTTGGGAGTGTGTAGAGCACCTTTCACCCTGGGTGTCAAAGCACCTAGCATGGTGAATTTGCCTTCTTTGTGACTTGTTTCCAGGGAGGGGTGATAAAGGGCTCTGGGTTAGAAACCAGTGGGAAGACAGTTTGTATGAGAAAACTTCAGGAACCTGGGAGATGAACTAAGACACCAGAGAGCTAGGAGAGGCCTATGTAGCTTCCTCAGGGATATTTAAGGACATTGTCCAAATGTCTCAACCTGAATAGTGGAGAGGACCATAGCAGGTGAGACTGGGAGGTCTCTGAAGGTGAATGCAAAGCACCGTGCTTGTATAAAGTAGGTAATCAATGAACTGGTTGAACCAATGAAGAAATAATTGACTTTAGACCAGACACAAGGAAGAATTTTGTGACTGTAACAGCTGTGAGTCCCCAGAGGGAAGACTGTGTGGTGTTCCCATTTCTATTGGATGGCATTGAGGTGGAAAGCCAGTGTCTGAAGTCAGAAAAACTTGGGTCCAGGCCTGGCTTTGTCATTTGCTGGCTGGGTGACCTTGGGCAAGTTGCTTAAGCTCTCTAATCATCATCTTCCTCATTATATGTCAAAAATGTCTGGCTATTGGCAATTTTATTCGGTTGAGCAGAATAAAATTGCCAATAGCCAGACATTTTTGACATATAAAAATTCTATTTCCTAAATTTCAACCACCTAATACCCAGTGCTCTGGGCTGCTGTGAGGCCATATAAGTAAAGGATTGGGGCAGCCTGGTACACAGTGAGTATTCAGCATTGGGGTGGGGGATAGGGAGAGTGCTATAATCAGCAATTTGTCCTTGAGTCAGAGAGGGTTTTGGAAGATTGGTTCCTGCCTAGGATTCTAGGATGTCTGACTTCCAGATGGTTCACAGGGAGCTGTCCATTGGTCCACTCACCCCGAAGGTCCACTGGGCAGGATATGCGGGGGCATTGACCCATGTGACCTTTAAGGTCCACCTGGCTTTGTAATTCCAGGTGTTTGTGAACCTTTTAATCCAAGACTCCACCTGCTGGACTACACGTGGCCTGTAGTCATCATCATATAGTGTCTCATATTCCTAGGAAAGGAGGACAGATAAGGACGAGGAAATGAGAGTCCCAGCTCAACACCCCCAAGGGACCCTCACTTTCTACATGGTGATCCTGCTCACTTGGGTCTACCCACATCTCACATCCTTTCCTCTCCCAGGCCTACATTTTCAGTTAGCTCCTTGGACCTTGAAATCCATTCAAATTTGGCTTCAGGGAAGCCTGGGGTGTGTGCAGTAAAGAGTCAAGGCCCAGAAACCCAAGTCTTCTGGACTTGAACTCATGCATCTCTTAGCACAGACTGGCTTGAATAGCATAACCATCTGTGCCCATTTCAACCCCCATGTCCAACCAGAGGCTCCTTGAGGACAGGCATGGGTTTCTCCATCTTTGTATCTTCTACAGTGCCTTATCCATGGCAGGGGCATAAGCCACATTCTTCTGCCGGAACTTTTGTTACACACTCCCATCAATTGGAACCATTAACCCAATCCAGGAGCACACACAGGAACCCTGCTTGACTCAGGCTTTTTAGGAGAGATCCCCTATAACCTCATTCTAAACTTAAATCCTGTTTGCCAACCCCCATCCCTCTGTCACCTGCAGTTCTTCTCATGATGTGTCAGGGTATTTCTGAATCTGTGTAATAGCCCTAATCTACTTCCTCACTGCCCTCATATTTAAACACCAGTCCTGCCCACACTGACCCCAGGCTCGACAGCAGTAACACATGCACTGCCCTCCTTTGTCTCTCCTGGCTGGCTACTGGGGGATCCTAAATGTTGGGCTTTGAAAGGCCTACCTGGTAAAATGTGGTTCCCCAGCGGCTGGAGAAATCAGCATCGTCCCAGAATGGAGCCACCAAGGCCACATGGTCCCCGCCTGTGAAGCCTTTAAGAAGAGGGTTGGGGTAGGAGAAAATCTGGTACCTTGACTCCGGGAAGATAATCTGGCCATTATCTGTGAACTGAGCACAAGGTTCTTCTGGTTAGGAGGGAGGCAGAGCAGGCTTGGGCCAGCTCCTCAGCAGTGTGACACCACCACCACCACCACCACCCCCACCCCCAAGGCCCTGTCAGTGTAGAACTTCAGAGATGTCAACAAGCTCTGTAAGGTCATGTCAACTATCTCCCTGCCTGCTGGAGAAACCCTGTTTACATAGTTCTCACACAAATACTTTAACCTCCAGACGTTTCTATTGTTCTAAGTCCTTCCTAAGGTGGTAGATTTTGTCCGGCTTCAGTGGCAGACCCCATCTGTAAGACCAGCCTATCACAGAGCAGACCCCTCTGGGTAAATCCCCTCAGCCTCGTCCTAAAGCTGGTGCCACATTAGATGGGGCTAAAAGGATTGATACCCTCACCCCATAACTGTGTCACCCTTTCATAGTGCATCCTGACTCAACCTCCGTCACTGAGAGCCACAGGAGCCACAACTGTTGTTCCAACTCTCCCCCAGGAGACATGGGTACCTGGACCAGGGAACCAGGAAATGATTACAGAAAATGTAAATGACATCGAACAGTTAAGTTTCCCAAACAGAGCTCCCCGCTCGTAAAAAGGGCCCATGAAAACAGTGGAGAGCTTACTGGGCCCTGAGATCTCTTCACTGAAATAAAGACCCTTTTGTCCACGTGGACATTGCCTTGCTCTGTGTCTTCCTCAGCTGATGCCCTGACATTAAAGACTTAATGCAAACTGTGTCAGAGGCAGGGACGCAGTAGGTGATTAACAGGCGTTGCTTTCATTATCCCTTCCTCTCCATCGGGATCACTGTCACAGGCACAGGGCCATCGAGAAGCCCTCGAGAGGTCACAGGTTCTGCCCTTTGGGCTGCAGCAGGGGACTCACGTAGAGAAAATTTCGGAGAGAGGAGCCGAAAGGGAAGCCAATCCGGGGCTCGAAGAGCGGCGAGGTGAAGTCCACACTCCTCCTGACAAACTCCTGGTCTCCAACACTTGACCCATAGGGGAAGAGAGAAACTCCTGGGCCAGTACAAAGAAGAATAGGAAGTTCTCATGGGCCCTGACTTCATTCAGACTGACAGAGATCCCCAGAGAGCTTTCCCAGCTGCTCCTCCACCCTGTCCTCTGTTTCTCTAACTGGGAACCATCAGGGACTCTTCTCTTGTCCTAGGACTCCCTAGAATTCCTTGGGCAGTTTGGGCAACCTTATCCTAAACATTTCTCAAATGGCTTTCCTCTTTTCCATTATGGCAGCACTTACCTGGTCTTGCTTGGAAGCAAACGGTCTCTACACTGCTCTCCTGGCCTCCTGCAAATTTATCCTTCACTCCAGCCACCACAGCACTGTTCATAAAGGCAAATCTAACCACGTCCTCTCTGGTTCTCATTATTCACAAGACTCCCTCGCATGAAAGCCTCAATTCTTCCTACTCTTTATCTTACTTCCAGCAACCCCAAATGCTTTGAGGATTTCCTCCCTCATGTAACACTGGGACTATTTTTTTACTTCCAAATCTTTATTCCAGCTATTCAGGCCCTCCTGCCTACTTGGGGTGCTTCCCCTCCCCCAGTTTGTATTCACTCTTCCCAGGAATCCTCCTCTTTACCTTGAACCCATCCCTACAGCCCCTAGGGGTCTTCCATCATGCATGCCTAATACCCTGGGCTTATTCCTCTAATTACACCTACTGAGGCAGTAGATCTGTCTCTTGCTGGACAGCACCTTGATCATTTCTCTATCTTCCAACTCTGAGCCTAGTGCCACGCACAAAGCCAATCCTCAGCACCCAACTTTGATTGTTTCATTGTCCCCTGTGAGGCCCTTCTGACCTGAGAGAGCAGCGTCTGTGAGCAAGCAGGCTGAGACTGAGCATTCAGTTACATCACCCTTATAAGGGGGATATGGGGAGTAACTTGATTTCCCATGATCCAGAAGAGGTGGTGGAAATATCCACAGTACTGGGTCCCCAACTACCCACAAGGGCCTTCTTTGGTAAATCCAGTCCAGCTGCCACAACTCCTAGCTCCACATCTAGCTCAATTTTCTCCATCTCAGGGTTCGGCAGACCCAGCTTTATGGCATCACTTACCTTTCTCAGGCTTAGTAGGGATTGGGACAGCTGTTGTTGAGCTGGTGCCTGTGGATGTGCTGGGATTGGAGGTTGTAAGGATCTGGGATGTTGTTGAGGGTGTTGCTGTGCTTCTCTTGATATCTGTCTTCTGTGAGACTGTGATTGTTCCTGGCATGCAGGGAGAGAAGACTGGGTGATACTGTCAGAGAGTAACAGAGTCGAAGAGAGTCATAGACTTTAAGAGCTGGAAGAGACAGCTAGAAAATCTTTCATCTGTCTTCTGCTCACATTCAAGCTACTCTCTGCAGATAAGCAGTTGTCTGCTGGGTCAGAGGGGGTGGTGACCCTGTCACCCACCATACCATTACTTCATCCTCTTGTGGACCTGACTTCAACCTTAGCCTGGTAATATTAACTCACCGTCCTCTCTTAAGCATTCCTCTAGGCCAAATTGAGCCAATGGGGCCACTGTAAGAGACCAAGATGCTGGAGTCTCTACCCACCTGATGTCTCAGTCTTCACGGTGGAGCTTGGGGATGCTGTGGATGGTGGATAAGTGCTGGTACCAGACAGAGGCATGGAATGACCTGAAAATAGTGTGTTGGAGTTCCAGGTGACTGCAGGGCCAGGGGCTGATTGAGAGAATGAAGAATTACTGGTTGAAGTATAGAAACTCGATATGGTCTGAGCTTTGCCCACATTACCAGAGGAAGTAGAGTCAGAGAAAGCATAGTCTGTGGATGGCTGTAGTGTAGGACTCTTAGAATACTTAGATGCTGAAGAAGTAGCAGGAGTGGTTTTGATCAAAGGGTAGGTTGTAAGTGGAAATGACAAAGTTGGTATGGATCCAGCTATACTGTTATGATTACTTGTAGAACTCATATATGTGTGCCTTGTAATAGGGTTGGTATTGGAGGCTACCATTTGAATAGTTACAGGATGCTCAGGGGTTTGTGTGCTTGACTCGCCCACTGAAGAAGCTGAGTCTTGCATGGTTTTTGTCAAGAAGTTACTTCTAGAACCTATAGTGGGAATGACCTCTGCAGTCATGTTTTTATGAATAATTGAGCTTGAAGTTGTTGTCAGAACTTCTCCACTTGGGGACAAAATTGTGGAAGGAGTACAAGAGGCTGTATTACTCAGGTTGATAGAACTGACAGTAGTTGGCCCGTCAGTTGCCCCCAGTGACAAGGCCGGCATTGCTGTTTGGGTCCTGTGGCTGTCTCTGACTGGGTTTGAGATTAATGTTGTGCTGGTACTTGAAGGTGACAGAGTGTGGGTGACAGTTTGTGGAGCTGTGTGCACATTTGGTGTGAATGGAGATGTGACTCTTGAGAAGGTGTTAGTCACCTGGGAGACTAAACTGACAGTTTCAGATCCTCTGGTGGTTCCTGTACTTTGAGTCTGAGCCATCTGGGAAATAGCTGATGTTTCCTGAGGAGAGGTGCTGGGAGAAGTTGAGATTGACTGTCTTGTTGGTCTCCCTGTTGTTAAGACCTCAGAGGTGATGGTTGAAACATTGCTGGAGATAGTAACAGACATGATTCCCATGGTTCCTGGAGTAGTGTCATGACTGGTTGCAGTGGACAACAATTTAGTTGTGGACTGAGTTATGTGGCTTTCCCTGGAGGGATTTGTTGAGAAATTCTTGGTCTTATCTGAGGTAAACTTTTCTGGAGAAGAACTTTCTGAAGTTGTTTGGCTGTTTGCTATGGATGAAGAAGCTGTTACTGTGCCCACTAAGGTGGTGGCCACAGCCAGAGAGGCTGCTGTGCTGGTATGCAGTTCTCCAGCAGTCTCTGTGCCTTGAGTTTGGTGGGATTGGGAAATGGCCGATACCACGTCAGGTGAGATGCTGGTAACAGGGGATGTTGATCGTCCTTCTGAGCCTCCCAGTGTTGAGACTACAGAGGTGGTCTGAGGAATAATGCTTGTTATGGAAAATGATGTGCCTCCTGAGGTTCCCTGGGTAGTGTCAGAACTGGTTGGTACTGTCCATATTTCTGTGGCAGTGGCAATGACCTGAGTAGTGTGACTGTCTATGGGGGGTGCTGGGGTGAATGTTGTCATTTCGCTTATGGTGGAGGTATCCCGAGGAACACTTTCTGAGAGCGAGTGTCCACTTGGTTTGAATGAAGAAGTTGCAGATGTGACTGTCTTGATTGTGTCTGTTATGGGGGAGACTAAACTTATGGTTTGGGATCCTTGTGTGCTCTGTGTGCTCTGAGTGTAACCTATCTGGGGAATAGCTGATGATTCTTGAGGAAAGGTGCTGGTAGAGAGTGTTCTAGAAACCTTAGAGGTGAATGCAGGAAAGCTAGTTACAGATAGTGATGTCTCCCAGGTGTTTTCTATAGAGGTGTCTCTTGAGGTTGGTGCTGTCAACATTTCTGATGTTGTCAAAGGTATGTTGGTGACACTGAAAGAGGAGGAAGTCATTTTTTCATTTGAAGAGGATGTCTCCAGAGAAATGCTCCCTGATTGATTATGTTCAAGTGGTGAAAAGACAGAAGTAGATGTGGTTGCTATGGTGATTTTGCTTAATTCAGATTCTCCTGTGATCTTGATGATCTGAGTCTGGTAGTTCTGAGAAGATGCTGATGTCTCCTGAGTAGAGGTACTGGGGGAGAATGCTTCTGATTGTTCCAGTAGTCCAGTTGGCATTGACGCTGTTGAGGTGAGTGAAGTAATACTTCTACTGGAGGGTAACGATGTATCCATTGTATTCACTACAGTGGTATGAGTAGAGGTTGGTGCTGTCAATATTTCTGATGTTGTGAGAGGTATAATGCTGATACCAAAAGAGGGTAAAGAAGCAGATGTTTTATCCGTAGAATATGTCTCTTGAAAATGTCCTTCTGTAAGTGTGTGTTCACTTGGAGAAGATGAAGTTGATGTACTCACTGCTGAGATAGTGCTGTTTTCAGATTCTCTGATTATCTCTGTGATCTGACTCGGGAGGTCCAGAGAGGATGGTGATGTTTCCAGAGAAAAGAAACTGAAAGTAGAGGCTGTTTTCTGTCCATCTGCATTAGTAGTTTCTTCATCTACATGACTTGTGGTTATGACTGCGGAAGTGAATGTAGTAGCAGCTGCAGCTACAGAGAGAGACATGCCATCTAGTTTTCCAATACTGGAATCTACCGAGGTTGGTGCTATCAACATTTGTGATTTAGTCAGGGGTGTGTGACCAAAAGTGGGGGAGGATGAAGTGGCCTTTTTATCTAATGATAATGTCTCCTGAGGAACAAATGCCGGAGCAGTGTGTGTGTTTGAGGCAGATGAGGGCATTGATGTGCTCTCTTCAGCAATGATGCTGGTTTGTGATCTTCCAGTGGTCTTAGTAAGAGGGCATTGATGTGCTCGCTTCTCTGAGGATGCCAGTTAGTGATCTTCCAGTGGTCTTAGTACTCTCGGTGTGCTGGTCCTGAGAAGATGCTGATGTTTCCTGAGTAGAAGTGCTAGACGAAGGTGCCTTTGTCTGTTGCTCCACATTAGTTGTCTTTTCGTCTACAGCACTTGTCATCAAGACCGCTGAGGTGACTGGAGTAGAAGATGTAGGTACAGAGGATGGTATGTCAACTCCTTGTCCCACAGTGGTGTCTGCTGAGGTTGGTGCTGTTGATATTTGTGTTGTGGTCAGAGGCGTGTTTCCGACACCAGGAGAAGATGAAGTGGGCGTTTTACGTGAGGGAGAAGTCTTCTCGGAAATACTTGTGGAAGAACTGTGTGTACTAGGTGCAGAAGAGGGCATTGATGTGCTCGCGTCTGTGAAGATGGTTGTTTGTGATCCTCCAGTGGTCTTAGTACCCTCTGTGTGGTGGTCCTGAGAAGATGCTGATGTTTCCTGAGTAGAAGTGCTAGACGAAGGTGCCTTTGTCTGTTGCTCCACATTTGTTGTCTTTTCGTCTACAGCACTTGTCATCAAGACCGCTGAGGTGACTGGAGTAGAAGATGTAGGTACAGAGGATGGTATGCCAACTCCTTGTCCCACAGTGGTGTCTGCTGAGGTTGGTGCTGTTGATATTTGTGTTGTGGTCAGAGGCGTGTTTCCGACACCAGGAGAAGATGAAGTGGGCGTTTTACGTGAGGGAGAAGTCTTCTCGGAAATACTTGTGGAAGAACTGTGTGTACTAGGTGCAGAAGAGGGCATTGATGTGCTCGCGTCTGTGAAGATGGTTGTTTCTGATCCTCCAGTGGTCTTAGTACCCTCTGTGTGGTGGTCCTGAGAAGATGCTGATGTTTCCTGAGTGGAAGTGCTAGACGAAGGTGCCTTTGTCTGTTGCTCCACATTAGTTGTCTTTTCGTCTACAGCACTTGTCATCAAGACCGCTGAGGTGACTGGAGTAGAAGATGTAGGTACAGAGGATGGTATGCCAACTCCTTGTCCCACAGTGGTGTCTGCTGAGGTTGGTGCTGTTGATATTTGTGTTGTGGTCAGAGGCGTGTTTCCGACACCAGGAGAAGATGAAGTGGGCGTTTTACGTGAGGGAGAAGTCTTCTCGGAAATACTTGTGGAAGAACTGTGTGTACTAGGTGCAGAAGAGGGCATTGATGTGCTCGCGTCTGTGAAGATGGTTGTTTGTGATCCTCCAGTGGTCTTAGTACCCTCTGTGTGGTGGTCCTGAGAAGATGCTGATGTTTCCTGAGTGGAAGTGCTAGACGAAGGTGCCTTTGTCTGTTGCTCCACATTAGTTGTCTTTTCGTCTACAGCACTTGTCATCAAGACCGCTGAGGTGACTGGAGTAGAAGATGTAGGTACAGAGGATGGTATGCCAACTCCTTGTCCCACAGTGGTGTCTGCTGAGGTTGGTGCTGTTGATATTTGTGTTGTGGTCAGAGGCGTGTTTCCGACACCAGGAGAAGATGAAGTGGGCGTTTTACGTGAGGGAGAAGTCTTCTCGGAAATACTTGTGGAAGAACTGTGTGTACTAGGTGCAGAAGAGGGCATTGATGTGCTCGCGTCTGTGAAGATGGTTGTTTGTGATCCTCCAGTGGTCTTAGTACCCTCTGTGTGGTGGTCCTGAGAAGATGCTGATGTTTCCTGAGTGGAAGTGCTAGACGAAGGTGCCTTTGTCTGTTGCTCCACATTAGTTGTCTTTTCGTCTACAGCACTTGTCATCAAGACCGCTGAGGTGACTGGAGTAGAAGATGTAGGTACAGAGGATGGTATGCCAACTCCTTGTCCCACAGTGGTGTCTGCTGAGGTTGGTGCTGTTGATATTTGTGTTGTGGTCAGAGGCGTGTTTCCGACACCAGGAGAAGATGAAGTGGGCGTTTTACGTGAGGGAGAAGTCTTCTCGGAAATACTTGTGGAAGAACTGTGTGTACTAGGTGCAGAAGAGGGCATTGATGTGCTCGCGTCTGTGAAGATGGTTGTTTGTGATCCTCCAGTGGTCTTAGTACCCTCTGTGTGGTGGTCCTGAGAAGATGCTGATGTTTCCTGAGTGGAAGTGCTAGACGAAGGTGCCTTTGTCTGTTGCTCCACATTAGTTGTCTTTTCGTCTACAGCACTTGTCATCAAGACCGCTGAGGTGACTGGAGTAGAAGATGTAGGTACAGAGGATGGTATGCCAACTCCTTGTCCCACAGTGGTGTCTGCTGAGGTTGGTGCTGTTGATATTTGTGTTGTGGTCAGAGGCGTGTTTCCGACACCAGGAGAAGATGAAGTGGGCGTTTTACGTGAGGGAGAAGTCTTCTCGGAAATACTTGTGGAAGAACTGTGTGTACTAGGTGCAGAAGAGGGCATTGATGTGCTCGCGTCTGTGAAGATGGTTGTTTGTGATCCTCCAGTGGTCTTAGTACCCTCTGTGTGGTGGTCCTGAGAAGATGCTGATGTTTCCTGAGTGGAAGTGCTAGACGAAGGTGCCTTTGTCTGTTGCTCCACATTAGTTGTCTTTTCGTCTACAGCACTTGTCATCAAGACCGCTGAGGTGACTGGAGTAGAAGATGTAGGTACAGAGGATGGTATGCCAACTCCTTGTCCCACAGTGGTGTCTGCTGAGGTTGGTGCTGTTGATATTTGTGTTGTGGTCAGAGGCGTGTTTCCGACACCAGGAGAAGATGAAGTGGGCGTTTTACGTGAGGGAGAAGTCTTCTCGGAAATACTTGTGGAAGAACTGTGTGTACTAGGTGCAGAAGAGGGCATTGATGTGCTCGCGTCTGTGAAGATGGTTGTTTGTGATCCTCCAGTGGTCTTAGTACCCTCTGTGTGGTGGTCCTGAGAAGATGCTGATGTTTCCTGAGTGGAAGTGCTAGACGAAGGTGCCTTTGTCTGTTGCTCCACATTAGTTGTCTTTTCGTCTACAGCACTTGTCATCAAGACCGCTGAGGTGACTGGAGTAGAAGATGTAGGTACAGAGGATGGTATGCCAACTCCTTGTCCCACAGTGGTGTCTGCTGAGGTTGGTGCTGTTGATATTTGTGTTGTGGTCAGAGGCGTGTTTCCGACACCAGGAGAAGATGAAGTGGGCGTTTTACGTGAGGGAGAAGTCTTCTCGGAAATACTTGTGGAAGAACTGTGTGTACTAGGTGCAGAAGAGGGCATTGATGTGCTCGCGTCTGTGAAGATGGTTGTTTGTGATCCTCCAGTGGTCTTAGTACCCTCTGTGTGGTGGTCCTGAGAAGATGCTGATGTTTCCTGAGTGGAAGTGCTAGACGAAGGTGCCTTTGTCTGTTGCTCCACATTAGTTGTCTTTTCGTCTACAGCACTTGTCATCAAGACCGCTGAGGTGACTGGAGTAGAAGATGTAGGTACAGAGGATGGTATGCCAACTCCTTGTCCCACAGTGGTGTCTGCTGAGGTTGGTGCTGTTGATATTTGTGTTGTGGTCAGAGGCGTGTTTCCGACACCAGGAGAAGATGAAGTGGGCGTTTTACGTGAGGGAGAAGTCTTCTCGGAAATACTTGTGGAAGAACTGTGTGTACTAGGTGCAGAAGAGGGCATTGATGTGCTCGCGTCTGTGAAGATGGTTGTTTGTGATCCTCCAGTGGTCTTAGTACCCTCTGTGTGGTGGTCCTGAGAAGATGCTGATGTTTCCTGAGTGGAAGTGCTAGACGAAGGTGCCTTTGTCTGTTGCTCCACATTAGTTGTCTTTTCGTCTACAGCACTTGTCATCAAGACCGCTGAGGTGACTGGAGTAGAAGATGTAGGTACAGAGGATGGTATGCCAACTCCTTGTCCCACAGTGGTGTCTGCTGAGGTTGGTGCTGTTGATATTTGTGTTGTGGTCAGAGGCGTGTTTCCGACACCAGGAGAAGATGAAGTGGGCGTTTTACGTGAGGGAGAAGTCTTCTCGGAAATACTTGTGGAAGAACTGTGTGTACTAGGTGCAGAAGAGGGCATTGATGTGCTCGCGTCTGTGAAGATGGTTGTTTGTGATCCTCCAGTGGTCTTAGTACCCTCTGTGTGGTGGTCCTGAGAAGATGCTGATGTTTCCTGAGTGGAAGTGCTAGACGAAGGTGCCTTTGTCTGTTGCTCCACATTAGTTGTCTTTTCGTCTACAGCACTTGTCATCAAGACCGCTGAGGTGACTGGAGTAGAAGATGTAGGTACAGAGGATGGTATGCCAACTCCTTGTCCCACAGTGGTGTCTGCTGAGGTTGGTGCTGTTGATATTTGTGTTGTGGTCAGAGGCGTGTTTCCGACACCAGGAGAAGATGAAGTGGGCGTTTTACGTGAGGGAGAAGTCTTCTCGGAAATACTTGTGGAAGAACTGTGTGTACTAGGTGCAGAAGAGGGCATTGATGTGCTCGCGTCTGTGAAGATGGTTGTTTGTGATCCTCCAGTGGTCTTAGTACCCTCTGTGTGGTGGTCCTGAGAAGATGCTGATGTTTCCTGAGTGGAAGTGCTAGACGAAGGTGCCTTTGTCTGTTGCTCCACATTAGTTGTCTTTTCGTCTACAGCACTTGTCATCAAGACCGCTGAGGTGACTGGAGTAGAAGATGTAGGTACAGAGGATGGTATGCCAACTCCTTGTCCCACAGTGGTGTCTGCTGAGGTTGGTGCTGTTGATATTTGTGTTGTGGTCAGAGGCGTGTTTCCGACACCAGGAGAAGATGAAGTGGGCGTTTTACGTGAGGGAGAAGTCTTCTCGGAAATACTTGTGGAAGAACTGTGTGTACTAGGTGCAGAAGAGGGCATTGATGTGCTCGCGTCTGTGAAGATGGTTGTTTGTGATCCTCCAGTGGTCTTAGTACCCTCTGTGTGGTGGTCCTGAGAAGATGCTGATGTTTCCTGAGTGGAAGTGCTAGACGAAGGTGCCTTTGTCTGTTGCTCCACATTAGTTGTCTTTTCGTCTACAGCACTTGTCATCAAGACCGCTGAGGTGACTGGAGTAGAAGATGTAGGTACAGAGGATGGTATGCCAACTCCTTGTCCCACAGTGGTGTCTGCTGAGGTTGGTGCTGTTGATATTTGTGTTGTGGTCAGAGGCGTGTTTCCGACACCAGGAGAAGATGAAGTGGGCGTTTTACGTGAGGGAGAAGTCTTCTCGGAAATACTTGTGGAAGAACTGTGTGTACTAGGTGCAGAAGAGGGCATTGATGTGCTCGCGTCTGTGAAGATGGTTGTTTGTGATCCTCCAGTGGTCTTAGTACCCTCTGTGTGGTGGTCCTGAGAAGATGCTGATGTTTCCTGAGTGGAAGTGCTAGACGAAGGTGCCTTTGTCTGTTGCTCCACATTAGTTGTCTTTTCGTCTACAGCACTTGTCATCAAGACCGCTGAGGTGACTGGAGTAGAAGATGTAGGTACAGAGGATGGTATGCCAACTCCTTGTCCCACAGTGGTGTCTGCTGAGGTTGGTGCTGTTGATATTTGTGTTGTGGTCAGAGGCGTGTTTCCGACACCAGGAGAAGATGAAGTGGGCGTTTTACGTGAGGGAGAAGTCTTCTCGGAAATACTTGTGGAAGAACTGTGTGTACTAGGTGCAGAAGAGGGCATTGATGTGCTCGCGTCTGTGAAGATGGTTGTTTGTGATCCTCCAGTGGTCTTAGTACCCTCTGTGTGGTGGTCCTGAGAAGATGCTGATGTTTCCTGAGTGGAAGTGCTAGACGAAGGTGCCTTTGTCTGTTGCTCCACATTAGTTGTCTTTTCGTCTACAGCACTTGTCATCAAGACCGCTGAGGTGACTGGAGTAGAAGATGTAGGTACAGAGGATGGTAGCCCAGGCTCCTGGAAAAGCCTGGTTCCATTTGAACTTGGAAGGTAAACAAGTTCGGGCTTGGTTAGGACTTGGATGGGAAAATTACTAAGAAAGCCAAGGGCTTGTAAACCTAAAAAATAAAAAAAAAAACTAAGGGATTGTAAGCTGACAAGGTCCTTGCAATCTCTGAGGTCAACCAAGTGTTGCCTTGCCTAAAAAAATATGTAGTTATTTTTATTTCGTTTTACTCTCTCCCAAGATCTTTGTGAGTGGTCCTTCTACCTACAATCCAGAACTTTCCCTTTCTACTTCAGTTTTTCTTTTAACTGGGAGTAGAGTGAATTTTGGTCACTTTTCAAACATGTGAGGTCCTGAGCTCAGCACAATTCCTTTTTTACAAACTTCAGCAAGCTGCTTCTCAAGGCACCATCACCTTGCAATTGCCAGCAATTAAGGCACAGAGCCCAAGGACCCATGGCCCAAGCTACTTTTAGGATCTCACAAAACTGTTTTCATGTTAATTTCTTTTACAATCAGAAAAAGAACTCAATGTAATAATAATGAATATGTAATAATGATACCAGCATTGATTGGTCTTTAGTCCAACATAGTTGTAAAATACAGTTTTTATTTTATTTTATTTTATTTTTTATCAAAGGAAGTGGCCTAGGAAGGCAACAGTGCCTAGGATCCATTAAAGTCATTGTATGGCCATTTTGCTAGATGGCCTCAACAAAAATCTAGACACATTAATAAAGAGATAGGTAAATGTAAATCAAATCATTACATTGTACACCTGAAACTAATATAATGTAATATTATATGTCAGTTATATAAATTAAGAAAAAAAGAGATAGGCATAATTATAGTTCACCAATGACAATCTAATTTTATTTTATGTTTACATTAGTTTATGTACCTTGTATTGATTCCCCCACAACTATCTTTAGCTTCCTCCTTTCCCCCTCAAAAAAACCCCCACAGAGCTAACTTCTTTTTGACTCAACCCTTATGCTGATGCTATTTTTTTCCATGAAGTTATTGGGATACAATGATAAATCCAATTTTAATAAATTTGTAGTATTTGGTTCTTTATTGAAAACCATTTTCCATTTATCAAGAGATGTTCTCTTAATTTGAACATCAAAGCTAAGACAGTGCTGCTTTTTTGAAGAAAGCTCTTTTCTAAAAGGGGACAATAGCTATTTCAAAATACTTAAGCAGAAGGAGGTTTTTCATGATTAGCCAAATTCAAAAGACTCAGAGTATTAATAAGGTTAATATTTAGAAGAAAGTACTTCTTAGGTGGTTGAGGGCTCTGACAGATCCGATCAGGACTTCAAAAGTAAACATTTTTAACTACATACACAAATTTTTAAAAATCTTATAATGTCCTTTTCAAATTAAAAAGGCATCATCTATTTTTTCAAGGAATTTAGAATAAAATTAAATTTTAATATTGTTTACTTGATTTGAAGTGGCCAGTCTTTCTTGCTAAAGTTGCCAAATATTCCTTCCCTTATGACAGCTCTGGAAGGTACAAAGATGAAGACAAGTTCCTCCACTTTGGAGAATAAAGAGCACCTGTGTGGAAGGAAAACCTTCAGTCCCACAACCTATGTGCAGCCCTGGGAAGCCAGGCACCAAGGTAAATGAGCTGGAAGTAAGATCTGGTCAATACAACCTGCTCCAGGTGTGAGGTTTAGACATGCCTGGAGGGAAGCTTAAAGGAAAAATTCTGCAATAAAACTAAAGGGTGGAGGTGCAGGATTTTGCATAGAGTGAGGTGCCTGATCAGGGTTGCTTTATCAGGAATATAACAACTCACGGCTGTCTTGCTTATAATGAAAAAGGCAAGGTTAAACTACAAGGTGACCAGACCATTTAAAACTCGGTGGTGAGAGGGAGGGTTAACTCTTTCAAATTGAATTATAGCATTTTTTAAAAAGCAAATTGAATTTCTAGCTTTAATATTTTATTTTTAACATTTCTTCCAATCTAGCAGATACCTAAATAAGCGCATATACTCTAGCCCTGGTCACATCATAACATAATGTTAATTATGTTATGTCACACTAGTGGCAGCTGACTGTGGTTTCTGGCATGGTTTCTTGAGGCAACTATAAGCACAGCATCTGTGGATTGCTTGCTGAATCTTAACAGGTGGCTCGAGAGGGGCACAGGCTGGGGCTAAACTTGGCCTGTAGCTGAACCCCTCTCAGGATTGTGCTCCTGAACACCTACTAAACAAAGCTATGCTAATAAGACCAGAAGACTAAGGAGCTTTGCTTAGTACATAGAAACGGACATGTAATAAATATGTAAGGGGAAAGAAGGGTACTAGATTTAGTGGAGTGGCCACTTTGCAAGTTATGTGGATCTCTGATTACTAGGTTGTACAACTGAAACTGGTATATTATTTTGTGTCAACTAAAATCGAAAAACTCATTGAATTGTACAATGTAAAGATGAGCAACTAATTGTCTATTATATATCCATAAAGCTGTGAAAAATTTTTTAAAAAAAGATTAGAGCAGAGATAATTGAAATAGAGAATAGAAAAACAATAGAGAAAAATCAGTGAAACCAAAACTTGATTCTTTGAAAAGATCAGTATAATTGACAAACTTTTAGTTAGATGGACTAAGAAAAAAGACTAAGAAAGACTCAAATTACTAAAATCAGAAGTGAAGGTGGAGACAGTATTACCAATTCTACACAAATAAAAAGAATTATAAGAGAATACTATGAATAATCCTACACCAACAAATTGAGTAAACAAGATGAGGAAGTCAATGTGTTTCCTAGAATCATGAACCTACCAAGACTAAATCATGAAGAAATAAAAAATCTGAATAGAATTGTAACTCAGGGGTCCCTTCTCCCGGACAGTGGACAATGCCGGTCCGTGGCCTCTTAGGAACTGGGCCGTACAATAGAGGTGAGCGGCAGGTGAGCCAATAAAGCTTCATCTGTTTTTGTAACCGCTCCCCAGCGCTAGCATTACCACCTCAGCTTCACCTCAGATTATCAGGCATTAGATTCTCATAGGAGCACTGGTCCCTGGTGCCAAAAAGATTGGGGACCACTGCTATAACTTGTAAGGAGACTGAATCAGCAATCAAAAATCTCCTAACAAAGAAAAACCCTGGACCTGATGGCTTCACTGGAGAATTCTACCAAACATTTGAGGAACTAATGCTAATCTTTCTCAAACTTTTCCAATAAATTGAAGAGGAAATAACACTTCCTAACTTTTTTTAGGCGAGCATTACCCTGATACCAAACCCAGACAAAGACGCTACAAGAAAAGAAAACTATATCCATTATGACCAATATTTCTAATGAATATTAATGCAAAAATTCTCAACAAAATAGCAGCAAACCAAATTCAGCAGCATATTAAAAGGATTATACACCATGAACTATACCGAGGGAGACATACTCATTAAATGAAAATTGCAAAATATAATTAAAAGACCAGAACCCCATAATCTCACTATACAGACAACCACATTGTTGTGTTTTTTAAGGAATCTCTTCTATGCTTTAAAAAATGTAGTTTAGCTTACCTAGTATATTTAATTTTGTATCCCATTTTTTAAACTTTACCTCATATCATAAGCATTTCTTTGTGTTTTAATTCTTTGTAAATATAGCCTGAAGATAGACAAATCTTATGTTTTAGATGGATAGTTCTTTCTTTTCCCCCTTTTGGAAGCATGGAAGAGCTGGTTCAGGGGGACCAGGCTAGCTAATCCCAACAAAAAGACCTTGGGTGTTGTATGAAAACTCCTCTTCCTAAACTCTGGAGGACCCAACAAGGCATTCTCTCAGCCTGAAAACGTTCATTGTTACCATTCCCATATCACAGCAGCAGTACAGAGCTGGATCTTTCTCCTGGAGCATTTCCCTCAATGTGTCCAGCTGAAACCACCACCTCTCTGTGACATAAAGAGAGCTTAGGGATCATGCACTCTACTGCTTCTTTGCTTGGAAGTTTTTCCTGAATAAATCTTACTTTATCCTTGTTCCATGTGTTGCTGGTATGTATGTTTGATAGTGTGTGTGTATATGTGTCCATGTCACTAATAGAACACTGGACATCACCTTACACATTAAATACTGTTTCATCATAAAGATAACTCATAATTAACTTACTGTTGGACACAGGCAGTTTTCAATTTGTTGTTATTAAAAATAAAGTTTGATGATTATCTTTGCGTATAATATTTTGTTTTACTTTCATTATTTCAGCTCATTTCCTTAACATAAATTTCTCTAAGTAAAATTACTGGTTAATGCTTTATAAAAATTTTCATGTCATTAATACAGACTGCTAAATTTCTTTGCAGCAAAGTAGTGCCAATTTACAGTCTCATTAGCAATATATGAGAGTGTACCTGTTTCCCAATACCCTTGCCCTTTGAAAAAATATTTGCTCCATAGTACCAATTTTAAATCTTGTCAAACAGGACTGTATCCTCCTTTTGAATCTTTATGTAAAGAACTGGCTAATCGTGGGCCAAGCTGATTAGAGTCTCCTGCTCCATCGAACAGAAAGGTAAGCCCCTTCGTGTCATAATGTTGTG